GTAGTTTATCGTCTTACCCAAGGCGCTAAGCATGTCGATGCTTAGCTAAAATTATATATTTGATAACTTATGTAATTAGAACAATGACTATATCGTTAATTTGAATTACATCTAGTTAGCTTTCGCTGCCTTTTGTTATATGCTGTCACTATAAGTGAGACTCGCAAGGATAAGGAATTTCCGATTAGTTGGGCTTACTAAATGGTTGTTGAATTCCTTTTCTTTGATGTGCTGTGCTCCTTTACAACGTTAGCCTTCATGGCTCTCGGCAACTTAGTGTCCGTTGTATCGAAAATGGAGTATTGTTGCCATATCTAAGCTGGAGTTGGCCAACCCTAACTTGCCTGTCGTGATACAATTCAATAGCGTCTACGCGAATTTGTTAGGGATGAATTATTTCCCATCGTACGTACAACCCCTTTCAGAGACGCAACATTGCGAGCCTCCCGCTGTTCTATCCCTATTTCCATGACACGTGCTCTAATGAGCTAATTTCCTTTAATCCCGCCATCCCTCACCTTTACTCACCATGCCACGTACACAAGAATGAATAATTCCAATTCCATTCGTATTCCATTAGCAAGAAGCATATTCCACTCGGACAGCTTCTTACCAAGAACTGCTGCTTTGTGGAACAGACACACGGCAGCATGTTTTCCCAATCTTGATCTGTTCAACTCTAGGGTTAATCGTTTTCTTTCCTGCATCTTATTACTATATAAAACTCGGTGAACTTTGCATCTTGAGTGTTTGCCAGAAGTCATATATAGAGAGTGGGGAAAAGAAAGATATAAACAATCATATATAGAGAGTTGGGAAAATAAAAATATAAAAAAGTCATATATAGAGAGTTGGGAAAAGAAAGATGTAAATTTATTATCGTGGGGATGGAGCCGATTTTCTTACAAGAAAGTGTATAAAATACACGAAATCCGGTCCCAAACATGCTACGCACAGCTGTCATCAAGGTCCATGCTACTCTCGCTTGTGAACTTCACGGCCTCATACTAAAAGCGACAGCGCTGACAAACTTCAAAGAGACCGCTTCAGACTATCCACAGTACGAAACAAAGTCTATCTCTTGTATCCTCTTTACTATGAACCACGCACAAACGTGTTGACTTTTTCACACAAACGCACATATAAAAACATTTCATTGTTTCTCACATACGTACACAAAGAGAATTTTGTTTCAGAGTTTTGTTAACCCAAACAAAAAAGACATTACTTTCCAATCTATCACCAACTGCTAGTATTCTTCTCGTTATATTAAATTAATGTTCATTTGTTGAAACTACTTTGTCTTTTCAACTGAATTTTATTCTGTCAATGAAAATCGTTTGATTATTCTAAACGGCCGAATCATGCGCAGCCCCACAACAATATTTTATGTTATTGTATCGAATCCCAACACTACGAATTTTAACACCCCAAGCTCTTACTGTTCAACTTTCTTAAAAAAAAAGAAGAATTTTTTTAATGTTGAAAGCAACTTCAATAACTGCAAATAAATGTATTTTTTAAAATAGCTTTACTTTCCCAAACTCTTCATGAAACTAAATGTAAGCAGTAAGCACATCAAGGTTGATCCAATGGGTAACAGGTGGTCTAGTAGCCCCATAAACTTCACTTCTTGCTCTTCCTTACGATGATAGAATACCACACAGTAACCCTCTATCTTGAGTGGCTCTTGGGTTTTGTATTGTGTGAATTATGTGAAGGAACCATAAAGAATGGTGATGATAAATAAAAATTGCGCGCAAAATAAATGTAAACAAACTACAGAGATCGGTTGTACACACGAAGAAAGATTATGCCGAATTAAGCTGTCGTATAAAGATAAAATAATTTTATTATTTCTGTATTCTAATAACTTTTATATACATAGAACGCTGAAGGTAAAAAGGCCGAAGACCCAAAAGAACTACGGAGGAGTTAGACTAAAGTCCCCGCAAAAGGCGGCTTCCAGGCTAGTTTTGAATATATGAGCAAGTATGGATCAGTAATAATAAATTTACTACAGGGGATGAGGAAATTGAACATAGAATAAGCTTCACTAGTACTTGTCTTGAAATAAGAGGCTAAAAAGCCAAAGCATTAACCTAAGAACTCTTGTCATATTCTTAAATAGACTCGTCCGATCGATACTCTCATATGGATGTCATGTATGGAGACCAACCCATTCAGAAATGTCTAAATAGTAAGTTGTATATAGCTGCTTTCTATGTTCAATGATTAGAAATGGCTTCAAGAAAATGAATACTGTAGGTCATGCCTAACGTCCAACCCATTCAGAAATATCTGAACCTTCAACTGAATACGGCCGCTTTCTAAGATCAATGATTAAAAATAACTTTGAACGAATGAATCCTGTAGGTCTCAGAACTCGGAAACTGGCACTACAGAATCACAAAAAAAAAAAAAAAAAAGAATAATAATAATAGAAAGCACATCGCTTGAGGGCTTTCAACAACAGTAACAACTAAAATGGGTATCAGAAAAATCGAAAAGAAAATGAATGATGAAAGAAGCTGACCTTCCATACTACTTCGAACAAAAGGTTAGGAAGGAAACCCCCATCAGTACTGGAAAGAACGATTGCAGTTACTAAATTTGAGATTTTTATTTTACTCCGAAATTGTTTTAAGATTTTATAAATTTCAACCGGAAATAGTAACACTGGCTCTTTGGTCAATAAATGTTTCCTTATGAGGAAACGGCTAATACTAACATTATAATTATTACTGTATTTTCATGTGTATAATACGACTTGAGTATAATACGAGCCCATGTTTCTGAAGCTAAAAACAGGGAAATATTACATTACGGTGGAGTAATGAACGGCAGCTCGGATTGAGGAATCAGAGAGCCGAGTTTGAATTCCATTCGAGTTCATTATATTCACTTACGTTATAACACCATTGAGAAAAGTATGAATCAAACTTCCCCCAGCTGTGTGTAAATAGTAGGGAAGACTGGGTTCTATAGCCTTGAATAGCAACCGGTCTAGGAGAAGGAAAACTCTGAATTCAAACCACATACTATACAGCTAAGGAAAGGATCATTTGCATTGACTCATTGAACCCGATTACATCGCCTCCTTTTGAGTATAAACATGACCTCTTAGTACAGACATCTCTATACACTTTTTAAAAAGTTATACCATGTTATCCATAATAATTTCTATGTTGTATCCATATACATTATCGTAATATGTTGCCATTTAAAATTAAAAGTATCAGTCTACATTCTATAGCGATCTAATTATGGAAAGGTCGTTTACATATCTATTTTGTTTTATTTTTCTTGAATTGTTTGAAATTTTCAAACTGGATACTTTGTGTCGACAAATGGAGGAATGTGAAACCGGAAACTCACAGCATGGAAATTGTCTCCTCCATTTTTCAAGCCTTTTGACTGGGATGAAGTCGTAGTACCTGTTCTCTCCTTATTTTAGATAGAAGAAGGCACCTAGTTCCGGGGATTCCAACCTTGCAGCAGCGCCTTCCTTATTAAACCTCGAGAGATTGGGTTGGTGCAATATCAATGACAGTGGTTTTAGAGGCTGGGCAGCTTTTTTTTCCTTGGCCCATCATATGCATATTCGTGTGTATGGGCACTCCACATTATAAACAACCTTGTGTCACACCCTGCTTTAATGTGGAGGTTAGGTGAATAATTACCCCATTTTTCAAGTGGAATAAACTAAAAAACTACATAATTCCTATAGTAGTTAGGCCATTGTTGTAATATTAATGTTATCAAATCTGGAAAGTGAGAATTTTGCATCTCTAGCTTAGACATGACAGCAATATACTATAATTAACCTACCATATTTTCTTATTTTTAATACAGCTTTAGTATAATATGACTGTGTTTCCGAAGCTAAAAACAAGGAAAGATTAGGAGAGATTGGGAAAATACATAATTCATTAAGAGTTATAAAGACAGGAAATTGTGGAGAACCTTAATCGCCTACGCCCTGCAAGGCACAGCAAATAGAAGAAGAAGAAGGAGAAGAAGAAAGATGAAGGGGAGGCGGAGAAGAAGGAGGAGGGGGAGGAGGAGGAGGAGGAAAAGAAGAAGAAGAAGACCGTCATATTGAGGAGGATAAGAAGAAGAAGAAGAAGACCGTCATCTTGAGGAGGAGGAGGAGAAGAAGAAGAAGAAGAAGAAGAAGAAGAAGAAGAAGAAGAAGAAGAAGAAGAAGAAGAAGAAGAAGAAAACCGTCATATTGAGGGCGAAACTGTTTCGATAAAATTATATCTTTTTTATTTTTTTCGCGATCTTAACAAAGTTGCCATCTGATGAATTTGCATAATGACGATATTATTTTCCCCGTACAATTCGTCTTTGATAACCTGACTTAATGCCAAAACATCTGCATATCTTGAATGTGTTTTTTTTGTGAGATTGCACACTTGGATGAACTTGTTGAAAATATGCCAATCCCTTTTCTTGTCAATTAGTTGTTTGGTAAAACAACAAAAAAAGCACAATATTTTTTTAAATGTTGAAAGCAACTTCAATAACTGCAAATAAATGTATTTTTAAAATAGCTCTACTTGCACAAAAATGTTTCCTTAGCTCTACTTGCACAAAAATGTTTCCTTAGCTATTCGTTGCACGAATTTTGTTACTGTTTAATATACCAGTATTTATATCTGTATTTTCATATGCCTACTTGTGATACTATGAATTTGTTACCGGCTTCATGATCCTGTCTTTTGTAAATTCTTCATTTGTATTTCATTGCTTGAATTAATTCCAACAGCATGGTCTCTTGTTATTAAATCTCCTGGTTGTTGAATATATGAATATTGTTGTTTATTCGTTCTCCTTTGTTCTCGTCTTTCGCTTTCTAAATAAGTCAAGCGATCAGATATTAAAAAAAAGACAAAGTCACTCTAACCTTTTTAATAAAGGACTTTTTACAGCGAGCTTTAGTGTACGAGAAACACTAACTTTTTTCAGTACATTCAAAACACACGGCCGCGTCACACTGAAACACCGGTTTTCATACAATCACCGAAGTTAAGCAACGCAGAACCTGGTTAGTACCTAAATGGGTGACTGCTTGGGAATACCAGGTGCTGTTAGCTTGGATATGCGAAGGTGTAATGGATAATGGCTCGGAATTGTTAATCAGAGATTAAGTTAAGCAACGTTGAGCCTGGTTAGTAGGTTTCCGTTTCTTTCTGCGGTAGACCAGTTGCCATCCAAGGCTATAGAACCTGTCCTGTCCTGCAATTTACCCATAGCTGAGGGTAGAAGAAGAGGATTCATACCTTTCCCATGGTGTTAGCACGTAAGTGAATGTAAGGGATTCGACTATAATTTGAACTCGGCTCTCTGATTTCTCAATCTGAGCCACTCAGTCGAAATCGATCTAACGACATAAGCTAACCTTTACACCATATGGAAGTTCCCTAAACAATTTTCTAAGTCTATCTTAGACGTGGTTCAAGGACGAAAGTTTAGAGCACCCAATGAGGATCGAACTCACTACTCACTCGTAATTGAGATAGCGAGAAAAGCATGCTAACCATTACACCATGTCGAAGTGCCCTTGTGTAGCGTAGCTTAGATGTGCCACAAGGCCGAATGTGCGGAGCCCCCACTGAGGATCAAACTTTCTACTCAGACGACACAAGCTTGCTAAATATTACACCTCGTCGAAGTACCTTAAAATAACTACGCTTAGATGTGTCACAAGGCCGAAAGTTTAGAGCACCCACTACTCAGTTGTAATTGAGATAGGGAGACAAACTTTCTAACCAATACAGAGGTGCCCTAATGTCGAGGTATCCTAATGTGATTTCCTAAGCGTACCTCAGATATGGCACAATGTAGAGCTCCCAGTGAGGATTGAACTCACTACTCAGTCGTAATTGTTCTAGCGAGACAAGCGAGTTAATCATTACATCAAATGTAGCCCTAGTTATATGCAAATTCGGTTGAAAGAGTTATTTATTTAAAACGTACAATGTACTGGGAAGTCGCCTACAAAGAAATAGATAATTTCTCCGAAATATGACGTAAAGACATAGAAAGGTTTCTAGTGGTGAATTAATTCCGAGTTCGATTTGCTCGACACGTAAATTCCGGGTATGGAGTTACCTATAAAGAAAAATAGATTTTTGCATGCTACGTGTCTGTCTCTACCTACCTACCTACCTATTATGAGAAGAATGTGAAAACACTCATCATTTATATATATATATATATATATATATATATATATATATGTGTGTGTGTGTGTGTGTGTGTGTGTGTGTGTCTGTGTGTGATGAAATATAGCCTTAAGTTAGGGTATATTATGGGTAAAATTGTTCAATATCACAGATAGAGCGTATATAAATAGTTTACCAATACACATGGCCTGAGGATTGGTGTTGACCTCAATGTCTACTCCTATATATATATATATATATATATATATATATATATATATATATATATATATATATCTTTGTGTATTTAGGCAGCAAATTCTTTTTTTAGGCATGTCTGGTCGAATAAGTTACAGACATTATGTCTGCTAATTTTAACAAAATCCGTTCATACTCACGAATAACATTCCTGAACAATATCACCTGGCAATTTAAACATGGCCTTGTTAAAAAGCAGAGTGAAGTAAATAATGTTAACTTGATAACACTCAACAAACGTAAGCAAGAGATAGCACATTTCTCTCATCCTGTAACATCAATACATGGAAGGTTATTCGTGACTATAACGGATTTTTAAAAATTAGCAGATATAATTCTCTAATTTATTCAATATATATATATATATATATATATATATATATATATATATATATATATATATATATATTCCAAAATAATGCATAATACCCTACGTTGAGTGGACAACTCGGACTTCCATGCTGTTTTTAGTCTTGAGGCGCAATTTTTTTTGTGGGGGTGACACCCTATGTTTAATATTTCTGATATACATTATTGTTAGGGAGGATTATTATTGTCGTTAATTATTTAAATGAATTGTAGTTTAATTTAGGATTTGAATTTAGGCCCAAATTAATATTTAAGATTTTAAAATATGATTGAAAATAAGAATTATAAATTTTAATTTAAAAACGGACGATGATATTGAAAAAAACATTTGGAAATCAATTGGGGTAACTCTCTTTTCTGAATGAAAATCAATAATGAAATTAATCTCATTATTGATTTTCATACAAAAAATAGAGTTGTGCATTCAACGTAGGGTATTATGTATATTTTTAATAGTTATTTAACATTGAGCACTGTTTTTTTCTTACACTATATATATATATATATATATATATATATATATATGAAGAAATATAGTCTTAAGATGTGCTATAATTATAGGATAAAGTGCTCAATATCAGAGATAGCGCGTGTGTAAATATAAAAGTGAACATAGAATTCAACACTTCTGTTTCATGCTAGAGGCAATCATCAGGCCGCGAGTGCTGTTATTTTTCTCGGCTATTTATATATACGGGTCAGTGGTGCATTGTGGGTAGTCTATTTTGGCGGTTATTTTACCGGAAGTCGTTTATTTGTTTATTTATTTATTTGGGTTAAATTATTTTGCTTGTTTTTATTTATTTTTATTTTTTTAATTTTTTATTTTTATTTCTTATCTCATATATTTATTTATTCTATTTTAATCCGTGTTTTTATTAACGTAGTAAAAATTTGTTTATATCGCTTATTTAATAGTTTTGTTTTGGTTTGGGAAGATAAAGCTATTTATTAAATTTTAGAGTTGATTGTTGTAGTTTATTCAAACTATTATTTTGTCGGGAACAGTTTTTAATTTGTTTATTACTTTGGACTGATTATTTTTATTTGTTTTTTTTAACGGTTAGTTTATCGGGATCGGTTTGTTAGTTTATTTATTTATTTCGATGAATTTAGGTCAATTTATTTTACTTATTATTTATCTGTTATACTGTATATTTTCTCTTTTCGGTTTTCGATTTTTAAGTAACGTAGTATTTTTTTAATCGTTATATAACAGTTATAGCTATTTTTTTCCTCCGATTTTGGGTTTGATTTTTATAGTCTAATATTTTGGTCATAATGGTTTGCTAATTTGTTTATTATTTACTTTATTTATTTAGGTTCAATCAATCCAAATAAATACATGAAGTAATAAACAAATAAAAAACTGTTCCCGCCAAAATAATAGTTAGAATAAACTACAACAATCAACATACCTATATATGAGGTAATAATAGCCATTTCATTTGGCATTCCTTGACTGAGCAACCACAGCTTGAACTTTATAGAATCTTTCTCTTAAAACAATTAGATTTCTTAAATCCAGTAGCTGATGGGGGTTTCCTTCTTAACTTTTTGTTTGACGTAGTACAGAAAGCCAACATTTTGATTATGTCATTTTTTTCTTTTCAAATTACACGTGATATCCGTTTTAGTTGTAGAAAATCCTCAAATGATGTGGTTTCTGTTATTTGGTAAAATTCTTTGTGATTTTGTAAACCACAAAAAAATAAAAAATAAAAATAAAATAAAAACAGAAATTGAGTTGCAGTTAGTTAAAATCTATTTTTATATAAAATTACATTGAAGTAAAATCAAGCGTGAGATTCAAATCAGTAATTTGGTCTATATACTGACGCATTCACCTGTAAGGGAGTTTTTGGTAATTTACATGTGCTGTTAACGAGTCCCAATCTATCTATCTATCTATCTATCTATCTATCTATCTATCTATCTATCTATCTATTATGGTCCAGGTCCTTGTACCACGGTGATAGTCCAAGGTAGAACCAATAAAGAAGAACTCGAACAACACAGATATATTACAAACAGGAATATATACAGAGAAATAGAAAGTGTTAGTACGAACAATCAGGTTTAGTAGTAATTGTCTGAACGCGACTCTGTTTCGGACTGCATCTGACTCGACTGACTGACTCGCTCGCTCTGACTGACTGAGAGACTCCTGATTCCCTTGGGCGTAGCCTCGTTCGGGTACCTCCCCGCCCGAAGGCAGAGAGTTCAACCGATCAGCCGGTCAGCCGGTCGTCCGACTTCAGACTGAAGGCATCATGTGGCACAAGATCGGTTTAACGTGGGATCTCCGACCCCGTGAGCTCGGCCACAAATATGTCCTTTGAACCCGTATAAACGGGTTCAGGGTTGGTTTACCTTCCCGAAAGAGAATCAGCCCTTCGGCGTAGTCTCGTTCGGGTTCCTCCCCGCCCGAAGGCAGAGAGTTCAACCGATCAGCCGGTCACCCGACTTCGGACTGAACTCTCTGCTTCCTCTTGAGGTGCAGTATTTATTACGTATGGAATAGTCCATTATGTTATTATGGGTAAGGTCCCATGACACTATCTATCTATCTATCTATCTATCTATCTATCTATCTATCTATCTATCTATCTATGTCTATATCTATTTAACTGTTTCTGTCATTTTATCTGCTACACGGTTCTGCATACGCAAAAAAAGGATCTAAGCGCCCAATTCGTTAAAATTTCATTTGTTTTATATAACGTTACAGTTAAATTGAAATCAAGTGTTTAGCCACCTAACGTGGATAAGGTTCTGTCTCGCTTGTAGAGTTTATTCTTGGGAATAAGAATACATCTTTTTTATGATGGCGTCGATACATTGGCAAAATAAGTCAAAGGAGAAATTTTCCTCCTTGTCTTATATATATATATAAATATGTGTTTGTATGCGTGCTTTTCAAAGGTGCTATTTGGTCTATATACTGGCACATGCGCGTGTAAGGGAGTTTTTGGTAATTTACATGTGCAGATAACGATTCCGAATCTAACCTCTGCTTCTATCTATCTATCTATCTATCTATCTATCTATCTATCTATCTATCTATCTATCTGTTTATTTAAGTGTTTCTCTTTATCTATCTATCTATCTATCTATCTATCTATCTATCTATCTATCTGTTTATTTATCTGTTTCTCTTTCTCAGTCTATCTATCTATCTATCTATCTATCTATCTATCTATCTATCTATCTATCTATCTATCTATCTGCTACACGTAAATTGACTATATGGATATGCATTAAAATATTTCTTATATCTTGGTAAATATATTTAAATGCATGGGTTCGACATACGCAAATGCAGCTGAGCTTGGAGGTGATGGCAAACGCATACACATATGTCGATCTTCAGCGCCAAATGACCAAATATTTCCGCGCTTGTCTTGCATAAAAGACATTCTATCAGAATACCATCCTTTTTTTGCCATCAAGGATTGTTTATAGATACTAACAATTAGAGCATAAGCCTTATTCACAGGTCAGTGCATAGTAACAATCGTAGGCATCTGTCCCAATAGTTTGTGTTATTGACATGAGCAGCCATTGTTGCAAGAGAGAAAAGTCCACGCTTCGAACTATGTCAAATTCAAACAAGTACAGACACTTAAACATCTAGGAAGTGATTTAAATTGAAAGAAAGAAGCGCTTGCTCATGCAACAACATGTACATATAGAAGGGTTGATGAAAAGGTGCGGCCCAAAATATATATGACCAAATGATCAAGTATAACTTTTTATTTATTTATCTCAATTTCAGTCACTTTCATGCAGCCATGACGTGGCTTCCTTCTGTCTTCTATATATAAAATTCAGTGACTTCTGTTAGTCTGTCCGTCCACTATCTAAAATAGCCAAACATTGATTGATAGAAACCAAATTTTGGGGAGAAGTTCGAACAGGCAAGGGGGTAAAAAGTACAGTTAGTTTCACTAGGACGCCTAAAAACCACGAAGTAGGCTTTTGTCAAAGTATTTTTCCAAACAAATCAGCTTATTTAAATTTCATCGATTGGTTTGCGAGATGGAACAAAGCGTCGAGGTTGTAAATCACGACAAAAATCCAGTATATAAAATTTAGAAGGAGGCATGGTGGAGTAATGGATAGCGGCTCGGATTGAGGAATCGGAGAGCCGAGTTCGATTTCCAGTCGAATCTATTACATTCACTTACGTGCTAATACCGCCTTCTCCCCAACCCCAGGACAGACCGGGTTCATTAGCCTTGGATGGCAACTGGTCTACCACAGAAAGAAATGGCAATCTACTGCGAGAAAAACAATCTACCTCGTCAGTCATTTATCGAAAGATACATGATCGCCTAAGCGTGTATCACGCATGGAAACATAACTGACTTATATAAAATTGTGTGACATCCGTTAGTCTGTGCGTCACATCCTCTAAAATAGGCTTACATTGACCGGTGGAAACTAAATTTTGAGGAAAACTTCAAACAGGGAAGGAGGTACAAAGTACACTTGGTTTTACTAGGGTACGTAGCTTAGTGCAATAAATTTTAATTCAGTTTTAACATACGAAATATTCTCACTATTTTAAAAAACAATTTAATGGAATCTTTCTCTTCTCTTAAAACAATTTTTCACAAAATAGTTTTCTTAAATCCAGTAACTGTTATTGATCTTTCCAGTATTGATGGGAGTTTCCTTGCTAACTTTTTGTTTAACGTAGTGTAGAAAGTCAACATCTTGATTATATCATTATTTTCTTTTCGACTTACACGTGACATCCGTTTTAGTTGTAGAAAATCCTCAAGTGATCTGGTTTCTGGTATTTGGTAAAGTTCTTTGTTATTTTGTAAACCACGGATACGAGCTAGGGTTCGTGGCTTAGTACAATAAATTTTCATCTATTTTTAACACACAAAATACTCACATTATTTAAATAAAATTAATGATTAAAATAACAAATACTTGTGTAATAAAAATACAATATTGTTTTTTTTTTGTTTTGCATATCTTTTTAAGTTTTTATATTTCATCGATTGGTTTTCGAAATTGAACGACACGTAGAGTTTATAAATCTCGACAAAAAATGTTAGCGATAACTTCAACAATACTAAATACCCTGAGGATTTCAACACGTGTCGTAAAATTCTAGTTTCTATCTAATGAGCTCTCTTCCTTGTTTCTTCGGCCGCATGAATTTAAACGTACTACTAGATTGGCAACATCGTTTTATGGTTGTAATAGTAATGTGACCATAAGCTCTAACCCAGTATTTTCTTTTTCTCGCACTTCCCGCCTGTGGAACTCTCCTCCGGTTTTTTACTTCACTACCACCCACGATCTTCAAAAATTTAGATGCAACGTCAGTCGCCATCTTCTGTCGTCCTGAAACCTGTTCTATTATTGCCCAGTTTTTTTCTCACTAACGTCTTCTCAAACTCTTTCAGACTCAGTAACCCCTGACGTCTTAGTTTTAGTAATATATATATATATATATATATATATATATATACTCAATTAGCTCAAGTAGGTCAATTTAAATACTTATGGAGACCTACTGGGCCCTATTCATAACATATTTGTTAACAGCACAAATATAATAGCATCGTCTACATGCAAAAAAGGCTAAAAATAATGGAAGTCTCATTAATAAAAACAAAAACCGACACTCAATAATATCAACAATGAACATGGATACAATATCTTGACCGTGTTTTGAAAATGAAAACATTATATAAATACATACATGCAACAAACTATTTCTTGTTAACAGTTAATATATTTTAACCTTGAAAATGGCTAGATGTATAGCCGAAAGCGCTCGGAAAGAAAGAACAATTGGACAGTTTTTATATAATTTATCCTCTGAAAAGAAAAAAAATATAAGATCTAATGAGGAATTGTATAACAAACTAAACCAAAGCACCTTGTCTGTCGTATTCAATGAAATGTGCATGAAAAGAAGGATTACTGCCTAAACACACACACACACACACACACACACACACACACACACACACACACACACACACATACATATATATATATATATATATATATATATATATATATATATAATAATGGACTCTCCCGTCGGTTTCGACGTATGAGGATCTGCCAGCATATTGATTCAGTTATGAAAGTTTATGCGCTAATCTTAAGTGGCATTTAAGAGCCGCTAGTGATTTACAAAGGAGGCCACATATGGAGCAAGTGTGAGGATTGTGAGATGAGATCACTGTTAGATTGGTTGACTTTTTAGATCTTGCTCTCGCTTCTTGAAGATGATTCAGACAAGCAGATTGAAAATTGCTGAGTCCACTAAAAAACGTTGATCTCCATTCTACCCGCTCCAAAGCTAAGCGCGCAAGGGTGTTATGTGGTATATTGACTGCTGACAAGTTGCTTTTCAGCTTGTCTTTGTATCTTAGCCATTGGCGTCCTACATTCCTGTAGCCCTGATCTAACTGGTTGTACATTAGGATCTTGGGTATCCTGTCATCAGACATTCTCAAGACATGACCAGTCCACCGTAACTGAGACTGTATGATAAAAGTCTCGATTCCTCCAATATTACACCTTTTAAACAGGTCTACGTTAGATGTCCTATCTTGAAGCTTAACTCCACAGATTATATATATATGTGTGTGTGTGTGTGTTTGTGTGATTTATATATATATTATTTATAAATTATATATGTACGGTACTTATTGGAAAGCGCTAACATACTTAGTAAAATGGATGTGCAGTGTTTGTCAGAGGACCGCAAAAGCGTGAAACCTAGGTTAACAAACTCACATCCATACAACTAAGTATATATATATATATATATATATATATATATATATATATATATATATATATATATATATATATATACGAGCGTAGGCTCAAAGGTTCATGGGTTGAGTATGCAGTGATGGTAGAGCTGTGAAACCTTGCATGCATTAATTATTAACTCTTATTATTAATAACTGCATTGTTTTTTTTTTCAGGTAAACTGACATCTGACTGTCCAGAGAAAACTTCTAAAGTAACTAGTTGCGAATTCTTGAAAATGGGCAATACTTGGCATCGTGGTGTTATCAAGTACTTGCAGAAAAAGGCTTTAGCTCCCAATGACATCTATGCGGACATGGTTGCTACATTAGGGAATGACACTCCAGCTTTATCAAAAGTGTAAAAATGGGCAATTGAATTTAGGATGGAAAAGGAGAATCATGAAGATTACCTAAGTTCTGAATTACCACAACCGAGGAAAACATTGATCGTGTTGATGACAGGCGATTGACTATGAGTCAGACAGCAAATGCTTATGAGCCTGTCTTGTGAGAGAGTTGAGAATATTCTGCGCAATGAACGAAGGTTTCTGATCGGTTGGTAACACATCTTCTGATACCTGTTCAAAAGCTCACCAGACTGATCACATCACGGGAAAATCTGACATTGTTTGCCGCAAATCCGGCTGCTTTCCTTGAACGTTTCCTAACCCAGGATGTCTGTTGGGTTCATCATTTTGAGCCAGAGACAAAACGACAATCCATGCAGCGGAAATACCCCACCCACGCTCGTCCCCCGCGTGAAACTTACATTTACGGTGAAGTAACGTCACGTTGATATTTTTGTAATACATTCATTTTCTTTGTATATATATATATATATATATATATATATATATATATATATATATATATATATATATGATATTATTTGGAGATATGCTATATTTATGTGTAAAATTGCTCAATATCAGAGATAGAGCGTATGTAAATATAAAAGTGGACACTGAGGTCAACACCAAGGAGCGAGAGTCTGTTTCATGCTCCAACGCAGTACTCAGGCCATAGGTTCACTTATATATGCAGGGTGTGATGGGAAATTGTCATCATATTATATATTTAATTTTGCGCATGCGCGTTGTTTGTTTTAGATTTTGTCGGCAACACAGTATTGTAGTTCATAGTTTTGTATTTGAAAGAATAAAAATATGTTTTTGTAGTAAAAATACCAGCAATACATTTTTATAGTAGAATGGTCAACCATACATTTTATCTGTATTCAAAATATATTTAGTTATTGTGTTCAAAATATTTAGATATTAGACATTATTTACATTATTCAGACTATTGTCCTCATCTTTGTCGCCATATTTATTACAACGTTTCAGCCGTTGTACGCTCCGGCCTTCTTTAGGTGGTTGGAATGTCGAACTGAACCCTTTATTTCGCTCACTGGGGTAGACTGTTCCACGTCAGTTA